CTCTGTCTAGGTAAGACAACTGGCACACAGCAGGTCCAGAAATCTCAACCTGCCTCAGAGAACAGCAGTGCAGCCCACAGTATCGGCAGCGCACAAAGCACACCCTGCTCCAGTAGCAGCACAGCGTAGCCCAGGACGTGCCACAGGGGGACACGGGACAGGCCTGACAGTTCATAGAGACCAGTGTGTTGATTTTCTTCTATTAAAGGAAGCATTTTGGGGATGTGATAGGAAGGAAAACATTTATTTAAAAAAAAAAGAAAACACACAAAGACACCTTCAGTAAGTCCCTTTGTGCTGCTTCAAGTGCTGCAGACAAATGTGCTGTCCTGTCCGGTGTGTAACAGTTCTGTGACTCAGCTTGGCAGCATCTATCACGAAAAACTACAAGAAACAAATGTAAGTTTATACCAGGCTTTTCTTGTGCTGCTTTTTTGACCAGAAGAGAGCTTTAAATGGTGTGACTGAGCCTGTCTGTAACAAGCAGGTGTAGTCTTAACAGCAAAGAAAACCAGTAGCAGTGATGTCAGCTTAAGTGAGGTGTTGATGGCTGGACTGTAACTTGTTACTTTATGATATACAACCCTCAAGGAGCCAAAGGAGTGAAGCAACCACTATTAACATGTAGGCAAAGGTATCATCCTGACACAGAGTTATAATAACTCTTAAAATATGCCAGACAGTGTAGATACTGAATGTATACAGAAGAGCAAATGCCAAAAATGTGAAAAAAAAAATGTGAAAGAGATGCTGATACATAAAATACCGCATTTTATAACGTCCCCACTTCACTCATAATGGATTCTTATACTAAAGTTGGAAACTTATTGTACCAGGGCTTTGTGTACAGTGGTTCTAGCAATGCATTCTAATTGATGGGGCGCTGAGTCTCACTTTCACAGATATCAAATAACTTGATTGGGGAACATTTTGGGAAATACATTTACTTCAAGATCAAGATTTACTTTGAGATCAGTATTACTCTCCTGTCTTGTGTTTTAAGTTTAGAGCTCAGTATAGGAGGTAATTAGCCTAGCTTAGCATGAAGACAGGAAAAAGGGAAACTGAGCTCAGAGAAATAGTTCAGAATCTTTTTGAAAAACTGATAGCATGAAACCCCTGCAGATGGTCATTTTTTTCTGTCTGTGTACAGATGAACCAAACAAAATATAATGCATTACTGAGCTGTAGGGGTGTTGGTAGGTTTATTGTACTTTTGAGCTTTGCACAAGGAAAGTGGAAGGCGATTAGCCTAGCATAGTATAAAGCTTGGAAGCAGGGGAAAACATTCAGCCTGGCTCAGTCCACAGCTAAGAAACTACACCTGCCTCAGCAGCTTTGGACACCATGCTAGCTTTATATCAAGCTATGTTTAAAAAGGCTTATACAGTACAATGCAAAATAATATATGTTATATCTTGTATTTTCAATTTGAAGACAAATATAAATAAAAATGACCATTTGGTGTTTCAGGGGGAGTTGATACTGTAGGCTTTTCTTGAAACTGTTGAACAATTCATCTTGGCTAACAATTCCAATCCTTCCAGTCTTTATGCTAAGCTAGGCTAATCAGCTCCTGGCATCCATGTACAGACATGAGAGTGATATCAATCTTAATATCTCTCTTTGAAAAAGTAAGCGAATTAGTATATTTTCCAAAAGATCAAACTAGTTTCATAAGGCCTATATATTTTTGTTGAATATTGTAAATACTGAAAAATGTTACAAGGCACATTCTGGTTAAGTTCCGTTTTTTAGTTTTTCATTAGTGAGATTAATACCGTTTTTGATTTTAAAATAAAAACCTCATTATTGAATGACAGAACATTACTTCAAAATCCTGGCTTAGCATATTTGATGTAGTTTGACTCCTAATGTCTGTCCCTTCACACCAGGGCTGCCACTTTAGGCAGATCTATTTGTGGATTACTTTTACAGTAAATTGATTGATTATTCCATTAAGCTGTTTAGTATATTAAATGTCAGATAATATTATACATTTTTTCTTTGCAAATGACTTAAATGATGATTACGCCATGACTACCCCACATCTCAGACTAATATGAATGTTTGCTGTACTGCCTTCCTGTATTAATCTGCACATGTTTTATCAGACTGTGTGTGTCCCTGTAACATTTTAACAGTGTCTCTGTTGAGAAGTGACAAGAAAAACAGAATGTATATTATCAAAGATTTTGATTATATTGCCTTTTCTTGTGTAATCATGCATAAAGCTTTATACAGAGGGAACAGAGTATAAATATATATAAATAAATAAATATA